TTGTCACATTTTCTCCAGTCCTGGTCATCAGTTCTCTCTGCCTTTTATGCAGATGAAGATCAGATATATTGCAAACATATTTTAGAGCTTTTTAATAGGATTTTATTTAAAATATAAATACTTCAGGATATGTGAAAATGTTAAAGTAGGTGGCAACAAACTAGTTGCTTTTGCTGATGAATCATTAAAATGGGGGTAGTGGGGGAGGGAATTCTGTTCTTTTCTCACAAAAATTGACTTCCCTAGTTATGTGAGAGAAATCCTATAACTGGATAATCCTGATGGGAATCATCCTTACAGAAGATGGTGAGGTAGATTAGTATTTTCTGGAATTAGTGTAGTGTAATGTAGTGTAGTAGTGTAGAGTAGCATGCTTCTGAGTAAAGAACGAAGGTTTAGGTTGGTCTTTAGCCAGATGTAACTATCAAGTTCTGCTGGTTTGAAATGAAGACATGTTTTTAGTATAGTTGAAATCCTAATTTGGTTAAAACCCCTATCTCTTGCCCCCAAAGGTCCATATTTTGTGCAGGGCACATATATCCTAAGTATCAATTGGTGCGTTGTGTGAGGAAGCATTTCTCTACCATTGATATTAAGGCATTTTCCTCTTTGTTCTCAGGGGTGGACATTGATCCTATGACGCATGCCCGGAAGAAACAGCTCTTGCTTCTGAAACACTCAGCTGGTTTTGCTGGCCAAGCTTTGTCACCGATTGACGGTGAGAGAATGGATAGGACTGAGGCAGAGGGCAGCAAGCATGGAAATGGCACTGAAGGGCAGAACTGCCAGACTAGATTTGCCAGCACAACTAAAAGCAGGAATTTGCAGGAACTCCGAAAGACATATCCCTTGAGGAAACGCCTCAGCTCCTCTGTGGACAAAAAAACCTGCTCTGTGCTACTCACAAGGCTAGAGGATGTAGCTGGATCACTGTCGGAGGAGACTCCAAGTGGGATGAAAAGAGGTCTTTCCAGTTGCATAGATGACTTCAGACCTTCCTGCCTTCCAGAACAAGTTCAGGTAGCGGGAGCAGGGAAACAAGACTCTTCTATAGGCAAATGCCAGATATCATGCCTTGGGGCTGAGGAGGAAGGGCACAATGCCTGCCTCTCGGAGCCCAGAAAACGAAGGCTAGCCTCCCTGAATGCTGAGGCGGTGAACAACCTGCTCTTTGAACGGGATGACAACTTATTATCTGGCAGGCGTTTTCGAAAAGATTCCCCCCAAATCAGTGGGATTTGTTGCACTAATAGTATATGTTGCAAAGCTCAGGGCCCATGGCCCTTGACGGAAAAACGAACCACTAAAACGGTGAAGGGAAAGAACCAGACTAAATCAAGTCAGAAGTGTGCTCCTTACAACCAGTCCCTGGATGGTGTCTTTGAAGGGAAAAGACGGGAGGACAAGGGAATTTCCTACCATCCTGCCCCAAAGAGATTGGCCAGTCTCAATGCTGCAGCTTTTCTGAAACTGACCCATGAGAAAGACCAACCATTAAAGCCCAGAAGTAAATCAACTGGAGAAAGCAAGATGGAAGGACACAGTTCCAAATCAAAACTCAAGTGGGCCAAAGTCAATGGAAAAAATTGTGTTAAATCCAAAAAGGAAATATCCTCTGTCAAAACAGAGGGTCAGCGTAGCTGGCAAGGAATCCCTGAGGGTGCATTTAGAAAAGTAGGTCATCAGGATTCTCCTAGAATCTATGGGAAAACAGAATCCATCAGTTACAAACCATTGCCTAACTCTTCTGAAGGCACAGAGGGTTTCTACCACAGACTGCCTTTGCTAATGGGTGGGCAAGCTTCCATGAAGCCTGAATATGGAAGACCTGGAGAGAAATCTCCTACCCCCAAGCAGGAATTTCATCAGCCTTCCTTCCCAGTACCTCAGTTCCATCCTTTGCCTGTGCCAGGCAATCATCCAGATTGTGGCTGTCTCTTTGAATCGTCTGACTTGACGCCATTGAATGGATTTTATGTTTATTATGGCCAAAGCGGATACAATAGTTATACTCATTGCTCGATATATCCGAAGGATGAGTTGTCGCAGGCAACGGGTTGTGAGGGGCTTTTGGTATCTCCAGGTTCCTTACCGTCTGACCCCTCGTTTCAGCCATTTCATTGGTGTAGCTCTCCATATTGTTGTGGAGAGGGACCAGCAATTAACAGCTTCAGCCTTTGTGGAGTTATGCATGTACCAGAAAGCAGAATTGGTAGTGTGCATACAGGGCGGAATGGCTACCCTTATAAGATGCCTTTTGCAGCAGGTAAGTCTGTAACCACCTCCTTTTGTTAAAAATGCTAATATTTACGGCAATGAGTCTTTGAACAAAGTTATTTATTTCCTTGTTGCTGGTTGATGGTATGCTTACATTGCCTGAATGATTGGATGCTGGGATACTGTGCTGGCCTTCAGCTTCTTTGTACCTGAAGTAAAAAATCCATGTGGGTTAGCTCATTTTTATTCAGAGGCAAAGGTAGAGGTTGGAATCAGAAGAGCTCCCCCCATGGAATCTCATGCCAAAAGATGTCAGTTGCATCTTCTTGGTTGCACATAGCCCAGTTGCTCCTTTCAGAGATCTTCTGTGCTGTATCAGGTTTGCACGTGAGATGTTTCTTACAAACACGTCTCCATTTGATGCTTATATTCACCCCATCAGTAAAAGGCTGGCAAAACTTGCTGGTTGCTAATATTGAGATTCCACTTAAGGTTTGGATAATTCAGCTGTAAGTTGAGTAGTCTAAAATATAAAACGCTTCAGTTAATGGGATGTCTTGTTCGAGTTGTGATCCATACCTAGTGTTTGGCCTGTACTTGGTTTCCTCAAGCAGGCACCAAAGGCAGAAAAAAGGCAGAAGTTGCAAAAGAATGCAAGAAGTAGGATAGCACAAGGGAAATAGCACTGCTTGACTTTCCTATATTTCTCTGTTTCTGACTAAAGCTGTGAGCATGACATGGCTAATTAATGTTACTCGTAATATAATATGGATAGAGATACTCATTGGATGAGTAGTGTACTGTTTTTCCCAACCTGGCACTGTGCAGCTAGGGTGAGATTGGCTAGGAATTTGGGGAATTACAGTCCTAACAGCTCTGGAAGTTGACAGATTGAGGAGGCTACTGTAGAAGGAAGGAAGATGTGGATGCTTAGAATGTGGGATTTTTCAGTCTTTTCTATCCTTCTCAATAGGGAGCCCTTAATGGCAGATACTTCCTGGGAATTCTCAGAATTGATGATCCAATATCTGGAGAGCACCATGTGTGGGAAGACTGGCCTATTCAAACAAATCAGTTAATTTAAATCCGGAAGAGCAACCTTTTTGTTGCTGGGGTTGGCACTATTGATTGATTTTGTGTTATTTTTAGCGGTCAGAGGCTACAGGGGTGGGTGAGGTAGGGATGTCACAATGTCACATAAACGGGTAAGATAATTTCTTCCAGTTTTTTTTTTTTTAATCTGTGGGAGGGTCTAATTCTTTAAAATGTACTTAAACCTCTCTGAAGGCTTACCACATTTCTTTATGTTTGTATTTCTTACCGAAAACTGCACTACCAGTTTTGGGTGATTTGCCCCACATTTCTGCAATATAATGCTGGGGATTCTGGTATTTGTGGGCCATGTATAGCTCACAGGTTACCTTTCCCTGAGCTAAATAGTTCTCCAAATATAAATATCTCATTCTACAACAGTGGCACCCGCTGTGCAGACTTTTACAAGGAAGATTTGCTGTCCGTCAGCGCTAGACACGATCAGTTTAAACATGACTGCTTAGTTTTCCTTTCAACATTCATTCAACTTCCTTAACTCCACTAAAAAAAAGTCTTTTATTTCTACATATCTCATGTCATGGTTCAGCTGCCTTCAGTAACTACATGCTGTCAGCCACAGTGGAAGGAACATCCCTGTTCCCTTTCTGTGCACAACTCTGCAGCAGTCAGACTGCTGAATATATGGCCAGGAACTACTGCTAAAGTCAAATACTCTTTCCAGTTCGGATTGTTACCTTTATTAATGCTCATTGGAAAGGCTTAAGTTGTATAGCCGACACAGCATAAGCTCCCTTTTCAAGAATGCCTGCACATTCAGTGTCAGGTTTCTACTTTGAGGGCTTCTCTTGGCAAGTGCTTACACTGCTCGTGCTAGCACGGAAATAAATGCATAGTGCATATATTGACCCTTTGTTTTTCCAATTTGTGATCATTTTGGCTTTGCAAGCTGGCCTATCCCAACACTCGAAAGAAGCAACAGAAATGCTATTCAGGGAAGCATTTTGTTCTCATTGTTTAAGTGAGCAGGGGTGGGTATCTAGGAAACTTAACACTTTTCCTTAATCCCTGCCAAAGTTTAGGGCCTCCAAAATTGATTCTGGCACCCAGGAATTCTTGAAATGTATTCCCAGTACATTAAACCTCCTAAGGGTGCCATTTCTGGACTGTTTGTAAAAAACATCATGCTACAGCAAAAAAGGCTGGGCAGGATTCCAATGTGGCCATTCATTGGTCTACAAAGTTCCCTTTTCTTTTTGGTTAAAGAAGGGCAGTCACATGACTAAGTGGTGAACATATTGGGCACTTGTATCTGTTGTTCCTGAACTGTAAGATGCTGCAAGATGTGTTCCAATATAAAGCTAAAATATAAGGTACCTTGTTTTTAGTTGGACATGGTGAGAAAGAAATTATAGTTAATTTTTAGCAACAAGCTACAACTTAAATCCATGGCTTGCCCTTGAATTGCAAATCCTGGGCTGCATTAATAGTCACTTTTGTTATGTTTGAACTCAGAATTCTGGCTCATTTCCATTGGTATATTATTATTATTATTATTATTATTATTATTATTATTATTATTATTATTATTATTTCCCTGTTGGTGACAGAAATGGGGGGGAAATGGGAATTGGCCAAACAAGCCATAATTATTTTTTTGGCCTGCAAATCTGACCTTTTCTGCCTTTTAAGCAAACCATAGTCAACACAAATCTTGACTTAATATGTGTGTGAATGTAGTACCCCATATCCTCTTTTTCTTTTTTGTGTACTAAGAAGCAAATTGCTTGTTTACAAAAAAGAAACAGGAAAGAATGACGAGGAAGCCTTAAAAATAAATACACAGATGTTACTAGCCCAGCTACCCACACATACTTAACGTAAGTGAAAAAGAAGAAAACTTCTTTGAAAGCTTCTCTTGTGTGTGCTCCTCTTCACAGATTGCTAAGCAAGTAGTCATTTTCAAGTCTCAATTACAGATTATGGCTGGGATCTAAGGATTCTTGCTTGAAGAGCCTATTTCAGCTGTTTCCAACCTGCTGTGGTCCAAAGAGCTTGTTCTTCAACTCTCAGAATTCACAGGGGTCATTGAAGTTGAAGTCCAGCAGACCATGAGGGCACCAGGTTGGAGAAAGTTAGTCAGAGGCTTCTTCAAATGTAGGGATTATATAATTTTTCAGATTGCTTAGGTATCACTAGATACTAGGTACCTAGGTCCCTTCAATTTGAAGAGCAGATTTTGAAGGATCTCTTAGAACCTCGTGAGAATGAGAGGCATTCTCATTACTCAGAACACATGATCTGTAAAGTCTTTAGAGTAGAATCTAATGTTCTTAAATAATGGTAATCAGAGCAGATGGCCATGTCTAGATAATCTTGGCAGATCTTGAGAAAGCTAACCAGATTCAGTCCTTGTTAGTTCTTGGATAAGGGACCACCAGTTAATCTCAGGACTGTAAATTAGACTTTTAAATTTTAAGAAAATCCAGAAAGAAGACAATGGCAAACCAGTGCCATATTGTTACCACAAAAGCAGCATGAATGTCTCCGTGTAGTCACTGAGAGTTGAGTTGAACTCAAGGGAGATTTTATCTTTAGTGTCAAATAAAATAAAAGGCTCCAGTGCTGTTTTGTCCACTTGTTCCTCTTGACTCCCTGTACTCAGGTCTTCTCAGCTGGCCTGCTCTGCCTTCAGCTGGAATTGCTCTTGGTTGAATTTAAATTCCATTTACACACACCTTTTACAGGATGGCCTTTTATGTTCTTGTAACTTTCTGAGATCAACCCCTTTCATTTCTTATTCAGTACTGATTTTTATACACCTCAAAATATATTTATTTATAATGAATATGAATTTATTTATAATAAATATAAGTGCCAGTTTGGTGTAGTGGTTAAGGCACCAGGCTAGAAACTGGGTGACTGAGGTCTAGTCCTGCCTTAGGCATGAAATCAGCTGGACAACTCTCTTAGCCCTAGGAAGAAGACAGTGGCAAACCATTTCCAGGAATCTTGCCAAGAAAACTGCAGGGACTTTTCTAGGCAATCACCAGGATTCAAGATTGGCTCAAAAGCACCTCCCTGCCACCTCCCAACCCTGAATATATCTTAGCTACAACTTTCAAAGAATTCTTCTAAGTATTTTATAATGCTTTCAGTATTGACATGCTTCCTATTTTACTCCCCTCAGCCAAAAAAAGATTGTTTACTTTTTTAAAAAGTTCATAACCCTGCCAAACTACATTAGAATTGCTTTCTGTCATATCGTAACAATTCCTTTAAACATTAAAATAATCTAACTTCCCTGCCCAGCACCCTTCCCCACCAAAAAAGTAAATCTCAACCAAGTGCAAGACTGGTGATAATTATTGAGTAAAATCATGTTCTCTATTAGATGGGAGATAAATGTCTTTGTTTTTCAGTTGCTTGGTAGAATCATAAGCATTTACATTACCAACTTTAAACTAAGGAATATAAGAAGCTATCTTATCCTGAGCCAAGCTATTAATCCATCTAGCTATGGTCCACATGACTAGTAGTGGGGCTCCAGAGTTTCAGATAGAAGTTTCTGAGTAGAATCTGAGTATCTGATTAGAATCTGAGTAGAAATGCTGGGATTACAAACATTTCAGCAACTGAACTCTTTCCCATTTAGAGCCAACTTATCCGCAATACATTAGGCTAGAAACCTTTTTATTTTTTACAGCCTTCCTGTGATGTGACAGAGAGGCAGGTCTTTTCACTGATAACAGAAAAGCTTGGAAGTGGCTGTTTGTACAACCAGCCTGAATCTCTATCAGTCTTGGAACCAACTATTATAACCCCTAGAGTCTATCCAAATTTATTGCCAAATTGTAGATTTTAAGGGGAAAGAGTTATTAAATGCATGGTGAGTAATCATATTTGCTGTATTTAACTAATTTAAAGTTAAATTCAACTTAGTTAGTTTTTGTTCAGCCCTATTTTTTAGAGTGTGGCCTCAGCCCAAAAGCATCTGAAAATATGCTATGCACTTGCAGAGTAAAGGCATTTGGGTAGAAAGGCTAAGGAAGGTGTTAGAGAAGAGCCTACTGTGCCATAGGAGAACAGTAGACTGACTTCTATAGAGCCAAATTCATATGTAATCCTATTCAAAAAACACTTGTGATGTCTGTATAAGTGGGTTCCAGCGATGTGTTATTTTACCTCTTTTGTTGCTTGTGTATAGAATCCTAATCCCAACTATTTAACTTCTCACTTCTCTTATTTGCTATGTTGGAAAATTCCATACCAGTATCTCCAGTATAAACGCTACAGGACTATAAAATTCTAATAACTGTTATTTAGACAATTAGTTGATAAAGAGGTATAATTTCTTCCCCTCAAAATGGCAGGTACCTCTGTGGACATCATTTTCTGGCTGTGTGCAACCATGCTGTGAGAACAATTTTAAGATTGCAGGAAAGGATAACTAATTCAATTAAACTGCTGGAGGATTTAAAGCAATGTTTAAACTAGGACTGTGGGACAAAATGGGTATTATGACTTATTCATTTTGCAGAAGGATGCTGCCATTCAAAAAGCAGCATATGAATAAAGACTGTGTGACTAAACATCTGTTATTTATCTGCGGATTTATAGATTTCCCAAAATCCTGTCTTGCACTGAAGAGTTAATGGCCATATAATTCATTTGTAAAATTAAAAGAGTGTTAGCTCTACAGATTAGGCAGTGCTGTGCTGCATTTCAGAGACTTGGTTGGCTGTAGCTTAGTATTCAGAACTGAGAAGATCATGTTTAATGTTCTGAATAATGTGGAGGCATGTTTGTAGCCTATTCAGTGAATCCTTTCCTAGACAGAAGATGAACTTGCTAAATGAAGAAGAGTGGTGTCATTCTTTCCATCATAGCGCAAAAGGTTCAAGTGGTAGTTGAGTGATTTGTGCAGACCAGAGATACTGGTCTCTCTGTTTATCAATCATTGGAAGCCCTGCCTCCAGCTTCCTACAACTAGTAGCTGGGGAAATTCCATCTGAGTTGGATCACAAGCAGAAAGTGATCCCCTCACTTTCCCTCCCTGAATTATGGGTCCTTCTAGCAACAAACCAGTTTGAAGTTGTGACAGAAACCTGTGTATTTTTCACAAGCACCTTTTTCCTAGTATTACACATTGTCCTACATACTGTTTCCTACTTGTTACAAACTGGTATTTTTGCACAGTGGGTTTTGTTCTACAGACAAATTCAAATTCACTTGAAAGTTTGACAGGTGCAGATTGGGTAAGTTCATCTAAAAATGTTGACTGAATCCATTTCCCCTTCATCTGTATTTGAGATATATGAAGTACCCCTTTCTTAGCTCTCTATAGACCATTCCCTGGCTTGAGATATTATGTAGGCTTTGGGGATTACAATTTTTAGCATAACAAGGGAGAGCCTGCTCAGTCCAGGAACTTGAGAGGATCCCGGAATGGTGTTTGCACCTCTAACAGTTGGATCACTAAATGTTCTTGTCATATTTATTGGCTGCCCTTATTTGTGCAACTGTGGCAGCAGTATTATTATTTGTTAATGCTGCTCCCCCTATGGACAGAGTAATAGTTTCATGGCCTTCTGTCTCAGTAAAACATCTCAGACATGCTATGCTCTTTAGATCAAAATCAGTGGCAATATTCTTTTTTTTTTTTAAGTTGTCAGGATTTCAGGGATTTTCTGTGTTCGTAGCAGAGGCCTGGTTTTGTCACGGCTTGCGTGTCAATGAGCTTCCTCACTTTCTAGAGGTTACATGAGGCATTATTGATTTTTATGAGTAGTAATATCTTTGCTCATGTGGAAATATTTTATACTTCAGGGTGAAGGGTGCTTCTTGTGGAATTGGTCAGGTGTAAGCCACTTTCTATCCATGCTGATTCTTGCCATTCAGAATCTTTGCGTTAAGATGCATAACTCTTATTCTAAAGATACCTGAAGTAGTTTGCAGACTTCAGGCCACTATAAGTTCTTGAAAATCATGGCCAATGTCAAGCATGAAGTTTTACTTTAACTGTTTAAGTGAAGATATCCTTCATTAGCACTGCATCAGCAACTATTTCCTCAGCAGCTGCTAAACAATAGGGCTGTGCAGTGATCCAGATTTGAAAGAAAATGGTGATTCAGAGTTCACATAGAGGTGCATGTCCCACTTATTGGCATCTCCTTAAGTCAAACATGTCTCTTCCTAAGTTGCATGAGCACAGGAAAAGAAGCCATTATTTTAAACAGGTGCAACAGGTGAGACGTGTAACTTCATGTACAGTCCAAATCACCTTTTCCCCTTTAAATCCAGATCTCTGCACAGCCCTACTGAACTGTTTTGATTCCCAGTTCCATCGTTCCCCTGCTCTCATTTTTCTTGAGATGCTGAAACTATTTGATTATTCTTACAATCATGCATACTGTCAGGAAGAAAATTGGAAGACTTATCCCAGTGTTAATTAAACAGAAATATGGCCCAGCCATTTCACTGGTGTGGCAGGAATTGACGGCATGCTCTATAGTGGTGTGTAAAATGTTTCAATTTGAAACACTCCATTTTGAATTCAAAACTCTTCTTTCAAGTTAAAATCTTTTTTTTTTTTTTTGCTTTTGAAACAAGGTATTTTAGTCATTTTGGAGGTGTTTTGAAACACCTTGTTTTGATACTTGTAATCTGAGACAGAGTGTTTCAGAAAGATTTGAATTTAAAACATTTTACACACCTCTAATGATTTGTATTTCAAAAACTTACGGATTTTATGAATGATTGACAGTCTGAATAAGACATTTTCAAACAAATCTATTTGCTCCTAGTTGCAGACTTTTTGTGGAGGAGGAAGATATGGAGATATAGAAAGCATAATATTTTCTCAGATGTGAAATATGGGCTAATAATTCCCTCAGGGACTCGTGAAACATGGGCAATAACTGTGTAGGTACTAGGGAGGTGAGCACCAGACACTTTTGATAAGTACAGTACATAGGAAGGTTTAATCAAAACTGCTTATGCATTTTTTTCTTTTTCCTATTCATCAGTTGTAGCATTAGAACTGCAAATAAGTTTTTATTTTGTGAAGGAGAAATTCAAGGAAAATGATGTCTTGATTCTCAAGACTGCAGATAAGATCTGATCATTTGGTATAGTTATAGATGTCATGTGTTTTGTATACTAAGAATGCTAAGTTAATTGTGAGGTTGGAAGCAGACTGAGCAAGAACACCTCATATTTCATATGGCCAAAAGATTACTTTAATGTCCGTTCTGGTAATTCTCAAGCATAACACCTGAGTTCAAGCAATAATATGGTCATTGCTAAATGGTGCTTTGCAATCTTTCTCTTGGGAACTGTGCCAGCAATCATGAAAGATTGAGTCTTGCTCTGAAAAGCAAAATCTTATATTACTTGTTCACCTCTTGCTCATCTTGTAGATAGCTGCAAGTCCCTGGACCAGCTGAGCCTCACAATCCCAGTGGCAGGACATCCCGTTTCACCTGCCCATCCTCTCTCAGGATGTCCGGTACCCAGTGTGCCACCCGCTGCAGAACCTGTTCCTCACTTACAAACGCCAAACTCAGAGCCCCAGACTATGGCCCGTGAATGCCCACAGAGCTCCAAACCACCCAGCGGCTCTAAATCTGGCCTCCGGAATTCTACTAGCTGCTTGCACGTGTCTGACAGCAAAACAGTTGGAAGTCACCTGCATCCCAAGCAGCAACGCATCAACCGGAGGAGAGCCACAAATGGCTGGATACCCATTGGAGCGGCATCTGAGAAGGCCGTCTATGTTGTGGTAAGCATTCTGCAAATGATTTTTCTGTTAGCAGGCAGAGCCAAGAATGAAATTAAAAAATAAAGAAGCAGTGTAAGGTAAAGAAGGAAAGCAGTTTAGGTAAAGAAGCAAACAAATTAGGTTGCACCATCATTGCAATCCAAGTCTTAGCTATCTGAGATCTGGTTTGCAACAGGACCAGAATGCCTTGTAGCAGTTTCTCAGGAAAGATAGCAAGGCAAAGAGGCTAGTCATTAGCTTGCCTTTGAATTGAAATTCTTGCTCTGATAATTTTTAAAGTATACTTTCTTTGAGAAATATATTGGAATACTTCTCTAGAAGATATTTAAATGACCTTTTTTAAAAAGATCAGAAAAAAATAATAGATTCGTTAAAAATGAAATTAAACTGGAAGTCTAGAGATTATGTATTTGAACAGGAGAAATAAATATTAGGTGGTGAAATAAAGTATACTACACTTGCTCTTAAGGAAGTGTCTCTTTCTGAGTGCTGTTCACAACCAAGTCTTTAAACATTAGCCGTCTTCTCTAGGCAAAAGTATAACAGTCCTAATATTGGAACTTCCTAAGTTTTGGTGATTGTCCGCAATTAATCTTTACAAAAAGAATTAGTGCAAGACACAGGTGAGCAACTTCTGAAAGGCTTCAGAAGGCCGCTTGCTGATGTGACCAGAAAAAAATGGATATTTTTTCCAACTGTTTGTTTGTTTGCTTTGTGGGTTGTATAGATAGGAATGGAGAATGCAGAATGGAAAAATGGCCCTTTTTAAACTAGTTTTTGGGGGTTTGGGAAATTTAAAAGTAAGAATGGGAGCTGGAGGCAAATTGTTCTCATCCTTTAAATCCTCCAAAAATCTGAAAAACATCCTAATATTGCACCACTAGTATTCAGCCATTTTGCCACCAAACTTGACATTGGAGATATATTCAAGCTCTAACTCAGGCTCACCATGGCCTAAGATATGTTAGTTGCAATCCCCTAAATAATTGACCATTTGATGCACTTTAATGGAGTCCTATAGTCTGCCACTAGAGGCAAGTGCTTCTCTACAGTAAAACCCTGTAGAACAAGGTATTCCTTAAAATCACTTAGAGGTAGTCCTCGACTTATGACAGCAAATTGGGACTGGAATTTCCATCGCTAAGCAATGCAGTCATAAAGTGCAATCAAATTACTTAACCGCAAACCCTGCAGTCCCAGTTGCGTCATTAGCTTAATCCTGCAGTCGTTAGGCAAGGCAGCTTCCTTCCGGCTTCCCACAACCAAAGTCAGTGGGGAAGCTGGCAGGAAATTGCAAATCCCAAGCCAGCAGGTAGGTAAGTGGCTGCTTCTGGGTGGGGAGTGAGCAAGGGGGTGTGTGGAGAAAGGTTGGGGGGGTGCGAGAGGGCATGTGAGAGGCGTGATGCAGGTCAGGGAGGATGCATGAGGGTGCACAGCAGGTGCAGGTGGGGGAAGGTGTGCAAGGGTGCGTGAGTGGGGGAGACTTACCCCAATGACTTGTGACCTTCCCAGCCAGCTTCCCCATTGACTTTCTGGGGAAGCCAGCAGAGAAGGTCACAAATAGTGATCACATGATCACAGGGCATTCCAACCAGTCGTAAGTGCAAGCTGGTTGCCAAGCGCCCAGATCGCGATCACGTGACCACAGGGGTGCTGAGATGGCTGGAACTCTGAGGACCAGTCAAAACCACCATTCATTCAGCGCCATCATAACTTCAAACGGTCGCTGAACGAACAGTTGTAGGCCAAGGACTACCTGTATTCAGTGTGCTTTCTATTTATGTTTCTTTCTTTCTTCTGAAATTCATCCCTTGCAGTCTTTTTTCAATTCAGATTCTCTTCATTTGCAGACTTTAGTTGTGAGAATTGCTGGTAAGTAACAGGTGACCTCTAGGCTCATCTAAGCTCCCTATGGGCAGGTTTACAATATACAATCAGGTTATAATTATTACTGGGATCATATTAGAATGAAATCATCCCAATGTGGAAGAAAGACTTCTACCTCCTTAAAAAGAGTTCACATTCCAGTAATAACATTACCATTCTTGTTAAATATTCTTGTTTTTGGCACCTCGTGGCCAGTTTTTATACATTATAGTGCTATAGATGTGGCTGGATTATTGGGTGCTTTGGTATCCAACTTCTGTCAGTAAATGCCAGGTCTGCGCAGAATAAGACTGCATCTGTTCATAACATGGTAGTAGATGAATGCACCGGTCAGGCCACAGTAATAAGCTGTGAGGCTTTTGTCCAGTCGCTGTCCCAGGCAGTTTCTTGGTTTTCTGAAAAGTTGAGGGAAGTGAAGTGACTGAAAAGATGCTTAGAGTGACTGTAGCAGAAAACCAGAAACCACAACCAAACTTTGGTAAAATCTCATGTTTGAGTCCACACAGTGGCAATAAAAACAGCAAAGCGTCAGTTCTTCTCTGCAATTATGATGTCTGTTGATTCTGCCCATCAGCCGTGTTCAGAGTGATCCAGAATCTTTTAGGAAAGGATGGGTGGAACAAAACCTCTGCAGACACACTGGATGAATTTGAGAGTTTCCTTGCAGATAAAATAACTTGTATCTGCTCTGGTTTGGATGCCGGATGGGGAGAGTCCATTTCAGAGAGCGAGGCATTGTTTGGCGTTGCTACTTGGGATACATTTGATATCATGGAGCCCAAGGAAGTAGACTGAGTCCTCTGTAATCTGAAATCTGCCTCCTACAGGCTGAATCCATGTCCCTCCTGGCTTATTTGAATGGCTTAGGGAGATGTAAGCAACTGGCTCCAGGAGATCATTTCAGGGAAAGCATAATGCCACCTGCCTTAAAGAAGGTGGTAGTACATTCTCTCCTGTTCAGACAGCTCTTACTCAGTTTCTGATCTCTTTCCTTGTGCAAGAGTGTGGTGGGAAATCAACAAGAGATTCCTAGATGAAATGGATTATCTGGATTCTTTCCATCAGGATTCATACCTGATCATGGGACAGAAATGGCATTGGTTGAAGAGGCTGATGATCTCTGCTGGAACTTCAGTGGTGGGGAGTGTACCCCTCCTGGTCTATTAGATGTCTCATCAGTGTTTTATACCAGTGCCTGCCTGGAGGCTATGTGGGAGTGATTTGGAGAAAGTGTCATTGACATAAATCTTAAGACAAATGTCTTTCAGGATACTTCCTCCAGTTTGAGACTGAACCCCTTCCAGGATTTGATTCTTACTTTGAGCATCATTTTTACTCCAGATCTTATTGCTTTGAATACCAGGATTGGTAGCTTACAAATAGATATATTTCTTACAGATTTCTTTCAGCAATTCCATTTTATTTTGTGGCCACACCATTGTAAACATTCTAAAAACTTATTTTCAGAGGAATTCTAAAAGCACAGGAAATAAAGTATAACATACTTTTTTCTGGTAACACATGGAACATATTAGAAATGTACAATAGCAGTGAGAGAGGGAAAACTGCTATCTATGGATAAATCTATATAAAAGTGTGCATTTAAGTACATAATATTGCTAGAATTGGTATCAATTTTTCCATTTTGAAATTTCTAAATATAACACACATTTCTGTACAGATCTTTACTTTGTGTGTGGGCAAAGATATATAATAGCACAAAAATATATGGGAATATCCACATATGTCCACACATAAGATGTGTGGTTTACAGTGCCTACAGCGGGACAAATATCTGACAGCAATTCTCACATGGCAAAACATATGTTTCAATGCACAGCTTGTGAACTTGCTTTAGGGATTTAAAAAGTATACTGGGCATTGTCCTTTTAACTTTTAACATCTTTGCAGCCAAGAGCAATTCAGTATCAGTGGACACCCAATATTGATTTCTACACCAGAGAAGTTAAAATGGATTCTTTTAATGGGGGCATTAGCCCTGCAGTCTCCCACAGAGCCAGGCATGAAGAAGCTCACCTTTTGCTCAGCCTTTGTCCTTAAAATGAATCTGAACTACGTAAAGTGACTTGAATATTTCTTCTTCTCTGGTTTAGTAATCATTACCTTTCATTTGAGCAGCATGTTTTGCTTCTGAAATTAACCCGCTGGGAAGAGAGATGCATCCTGCTGTTTTGTATGATCCGTCTTCTCCACAGACTCTTTAGCAGTAAAGACGCACACCCTTTTTTGGCAGGAAGCTGTCTACTTGGCGTAGGTGGATTAGTGGAGGCTGCTGGTGTCTGTTTCTCAGTATTGTTTTTGCAGACTCACTCCTTTTCTTGGCGCTCTCTCTTGTCAATATTTGTAGAATGAGCCAGAACCAGCTGTTCGTAAGAGCTACCAGGCTGTGGAGAGAGATGGAGAAATCATTCGGGTTCGGGATACAGTTCTTCTGAAATCAGGGCCAAGGAAGAAATCAATGCCTTATGTGGCTAAGATATCTGCCCTGTGGGAAGACCCCAAAACAGGTATTAAGCACAAAACCTATGTCCCTTGTACAGGCTGTCAAGGTGAGATGGCCAGCTGTATGATGGATGTTAGCTATGTAACAATGTATTTGTTTATAAAAGATCTGTGGAGCTGGGGGTGGGGGGTGTCTGAAAATCATCCTGCATATCATTCCCTGTGAACCAGTCTACCACATGCTCAGTGTAACAAAAATCCCTAGAATGTAAAAGGCATCTAAATGATTCAGACAAGCTAACTGTATCCATGATGGTAATACCCTGCAAGCTTAGGTCAGGAAAATCCAAGATGGGAAGTTAAATTAACCTAGAAGGCCAGTTGGCAATCTCTGGAACTTTCTTTCATTTGCATGATCTGTAAGGCTCTTTTTTAAGTTGGCAAGTAGGTGCCTTAGTACTAAAATTAAAGGCACCCAGAGGCTTCTCCTCTGAAATGAAGGCAAGAATAACCAACCTGACTGTCCCTGAATTAGATTTCGTACGGGGCAAAAATGTCTGTGTCTCTTACAGCAGATAATTGCATCCAATTGGTCAGTAGTCACCCATACATCATCAAAAACAAAAAAAAAGTGGAATCATTTTTTAAGCTTTTCAAAAATGGTGACCCCTCAGATCACTTTATTTCCTAAGAACTTCAGCTTCTAGACATTGGTTCAGTCTGATAATTGGGGATGCGCACCCTGGAAACAGTTGCACCAATTTTGCCAAGTTGACATCTTAGCAACAGCAGCTCCCAAAAGATTTTACCACAGCCCGAATGTCTTGAACCTCTAATTAGGCTAACATTCTCTGTAGTTTGTAATCTGGGAAATGGAAGATAACTTGATTTCCGTTTGCTTGATTGCCATAGTACTAAATGAAGGCCGTGCTGCTATAGAAACGGAAATAAGAAATAAAACTAATTTGGGGATATAGGCTGTTCCTTTCCAGTTGGGCTAGTGGCTAGGCATCACCATCAATAGTATTATTGATAAAGTAGACAGGCCATTTTCAAAATGCTTTTGTTGAAGCCAGTTAGACTGTACCTGTATCTCCATGACTGAGGATGTGGGGGAGGGGAGCATTCTGTTAACATGCAACACAAGCAGGCAGTTTGTGGTGCTGAATTTGAATCACTTCATGATGTTTATAGATCCTCAAAGTTGTTTCCATATTTTAAAAAAAATGCAAACAGGCCTAGTAAAGCTGGGGGCAAATGGAAAATTAGAAGGTTTGCATGGGGCACTCAGTTCATATTAACATCTCTTTCAGTTGCAAAGCAGGCTGACATTTCTGCAGATTGAGGTGGCATGATCTCTCTTCTTTGTGTATCACACACATGGGTGATAAATCTTCAGAGAGTCAGTGATGGAAATTTCTAGAAAGGTGACTTCTTAGGAAGCTTATCCTCCAGTCCACATCTGAGAATGTTCTCCATTGCTTCCATTAGTTTCCTTGTGACCACTGTAGCATCATCTGAATTCTTCCCTTCTCATAAATGTCCTTAGTGATTCAGAGGTTGTTTTATTATTTTTGCTTGCTTCCCTGGGTCTTTCACTGGGGCAAGTTTTTGAAAGTCCTCTGAAGATGTTAGACTTCACAGGCCAATGGCAGGAAAGGCACACTTCAAAAAACGTGCTAGCAAATTGTTCCCTACCAACAATCATTCTTTTTTGTCTGCTAAGACTAAGAGAGACTCATGTCATAGAAAGCTGTATTGGTTGTTAAATAAGCTTGAAAAACACCAAATGTCAGGCTATGTTTATAGGAGAAAGTCATTCTCATATTTAGAGTTAATGACATTGGATATTCAGTACTAACCACTCAGATGGTTTCAGACTCAACCTGTGTGCTGACCTCATGCCATTTTTTTACTATTTCAGGCAAGATAGCGAATCTCCTATTCCAGATATTTGTCTGGTGATTTTCCCAGTTAAAAAAAAAAAAATCTTCAGTATGAAGTCCCTCTTTGAGACTGATGGTCTATGTCATATATGTCTGCTTTTGGACCTCATTCAGCTGCCCCACTTGAGAGGACTCATTTGTCATACAACTCTCCTTGCCTCCAAGCTTTGATAGAACCTGAACGATTTTCTAACACAGAGATTGCGCTTGCCACTTAATGAGCAGATTGCTTATAGATGTAGACTTTGTATGGACAAGTATAATGAAATATGGGACTCATTTATACAAAATACAGTAGGTTTTTTAAAAAAAATGATAGTCATATAAATCTGTTAGAAATATATATGTACTTGAATAGTATTTATATTAGATAAGTATATATAGAATTGAAATTGTTTATTGTTATGATATATTAACACTTCTTTTCTCTCTGTTGTATTTTTTTCACTTTTTTGTTAAACCACTTTTATGTATTTTTTTCTTCTTTTTGTGAACAAACATTAAAAATAAATAAATTAAAAAACACACACACCACAGAGATTCAACAATCCTCACAAGAAGATATCAGGATGCCAAGCAATCATATTCTTCCCAGTCCAGGTCATCTTGATCTCACTAAGAGTTCCCAAGAACTCCCCCAACTCTTCCTACTCCTGTTCCTCTGATGAAGGACACTGGTATAGACCAGTACAGCTCCTATTCCTCCATTTTTCTGCCTGGCACTGTTGTCCTTCCATGCAATATGACCAGTGGTAACAGTGGCCTTGTTTAAGCATAAGTTTTCAGTGTAGATTCTATCCATTTGCCCCACTGAACAGCACTATTCATTTTCTCTGATACCTTCAAACCTTGGCTGAAGATGTTCACTTAGATTCTGAGGATTATCACTTTAACACTTCTTCCACCTACTCAGACCACCCATTTCATTCTTCTCGTGACTCAATAGTATCTATGTTGTCAACATCAAAGTACTTTGAAAACCTACATGACGTTTAAGAGAAGGAATAATATCTTCTCTTTTAGCATTTGATACCAAGCTGTATTATTGTAGATGCTTCTCCAATTAAATTTAAGCTCACTAAGTCCAGCGTATCAAGAGCTAAGCAGTGAAGGGGAGGCTGTTACATAAGATTCCAGGATTCTTATAGTTTGAATTCATAGTATAACCTTCTTTAGGATTTGTTTGCCATTCTCCCTTCGATTTGACCCTTCATGGTGACATTCTTGAGATCTTACAGAAGGCTGCAATAAAGTCAGCCACATATGTTCTAGTTTTCAAGGTTTTTGCTTCAATAGTTTCTTTATCAGAGAAAAGAGATGGTAACACGCATCCTATCTTGGATTTAAGGAACTTAAATGCTTCAATTTATGATAGAAAAATCCAGATAATGATTCTTCAAAACCAACTGCCTTTACTACATCTGAAAATTGGTTTGCACTAATTGACTTACAAGATGCCTGTTCTCACATTACAGAAGTTACAACACAGGGAGTAACTACCTTTCAGTAGAAGTTATTTTCTTTAGCTTCTCTGTTATGCTAACATTTTTCACAAAATGCACTATGATTACTCATCTCTGTCTTCTCATTATCCAAATATATCTATCATAGAAAATTGTTGCTCTTTTTCATCCATCTTTCAAAACAGATCCACAGAACCCTTCATCTGCTCCATCTCACAGTCTTTGGGTCAACCTGAGATGTCTCATTTACATTCTAATGTATCTTTTCCCTTCATAGGAGCAATTCTAGATTCACACTGACAAAAGACATTCCTCCTCTGGAAAAATGCTGTGAACCTTCCCCAGCTGGCTCAATACTAGTGGATGTCAGTGACTAGTGGATGTCAGGCATTATGGCAGCTTCTATTTCAGGATCTAGTTCACAAAGCTTCAGCGAGAACCTTTCAGTATTTGACTATTCTCAGTTAACTCCCACAGTCATCATCTGAAAAGCTGGCTTTGTCACCTATGCAGCTTGCACTTCACTCTCCTGTAGGGTTGAATCTTCTTAGAAGATTCACAACTGACATCTTTATCATGGTTGGATTACTCACTGTAAAAGCTTCCAAATTAATGACTACTGGTGTCACCTGTATGCTATCACTTTAATTATCTAGAATTCTTAGCATTCTTCAAGAATGTACAAAATTCAGTCCTGGGTTTTGGAACCATGTGGCCTGGCTGTTTTTATAAATCAACAAAGAAGGGGGTCCTCATTTATGTTGTAACTAATCTAGAACATTGGTGTTTAATCCACGGGACATGCCTAACCATCCCACAATAAATGGTTCTCCTAACTCATAGCAGGGGAGGGGGCTAATAGCCTGACCCAACAACCCTTCAGATAGCAGCATGTTTTTTGCAGTTCTCTTTCAAAGTAAGGGATGTACTGTGGGCAGCGCATCACAATTTGACCAAATGGTGTTTACAATAATAAAGAGGCTTATTTTTCCACTTGTCATGCTATTGTGGAATGTTTCAGTGTTCATTGCAGCATACATCCAAATTCTACTTTTTCTGAAGCCAGCAAGACTTTCCTTATCTTTTGTACATGTGTATTTGCGGAGTCCTTGGGGTTCTCTGAGCTTGGTTCTTTTCTTGCAAACATTTCATTACCCGGC